TATGGGTGACTCTTCTTTGGACACTCTCAAGCTTGTACACATCCTTGTTAAAGTGTGGTGCCCAGAACTGGATGCAGTACTCCAGCTGGGGTCTCACCAGTGCTGAGTCGAGTCGAAGAATCACCTCCTTGGCTTTGCTGGAGATGAGTTGATTGATGCATGCCCTACTGGCTACAGCATTGCACTGCTGGCTTATATTCATACTAAGGTCTATTATTACCCCCAGGTACCTTTCATGGTGCTAGTCAGTTTGGTGCCACCAAGCCTGTAGGTGTGTTGGGGGTTGCTCGTCCCAAGGTGGAGCACTTTACATTTCTCAGTGTTGAACTTCATCAGGTTCTGATCCACCAACTTGCTAGCCTGTCTAGGTCTGCCTGTATCTGTAGCCTATCTTCAAGTGTGACCACACTCCCCCATAACTTGGTGTCATCTGCAAACTTGGCCAGTGAGCTATTCACCCCCACACCCAAATCACTAATAAAGATGTTGAAAAGTACTAGACAAAGCACTGACCCCTGTGGGACATCATTGCTCACTGGTCCTCAGGCTCTTATCCCTTTGGACAGGAGTGAGAATCAGGATGGCCTTAACTAAAAGCACCTTCCAACAGTAATTTTTGAAACCCAGCATGGGTTTGTTGCAGGTAGGTCTTGCTTGAACAATTTCATTTCCTTTTACGACCAGGTGGCCTATCACCTGGACAAGGGGGAAGAGATTGATGTTGTATATCTTGACTTTAAAAAAGCTTTCGATCTGGTATCTCATGATCGCCTCTTGGCAAAACTGGCTAACTGCAGCCTCAACCTCACCACGATCTACTGGCTGGGGAATTGGCTCCGTGGCAGGACCCAGGGCGTGGTGGTTGACAGAAGCCAATCGTCTTGGTGCGCGGTCACCAGTGGGGGCCCTCAAGGCTCTGTCCTAGGGCCTATACTATTTAACATCTTCATTAATGATGTGGACACTGGAGTCAGAAGTGGACTGGCCAAGTTTGCCAGTGTTCAGCATCGAAAAATGCAAGGTTCTCCACCTTGGGAGGAAAAATCTGCAGCATCCTAATAGGCTTGGCAGTGCTATGCTGGTTAGCACTACAGATGAAAGGGACTTGGGGATCATGATTGACCACAAGATGAATATGAGCCTTCAATGTGATGCTGCAGCTAGTAAAGCGAGCAAAACGCTGGCTTGCATCCATAGATGCTTCTCAAGCAAATCCCAGGATGTCATTCTCCTGTTGTACTCAGCCTTGGTGAGGCCACAGCTGGAGTACTGCATCCATTTTTGGGCTCTACAATTCAAAAAGGATGTGGAAAAGCTTGAGGTCAGGAAAACAGACCTTATGATGAGAGGCTGAGAGCCATGGGGACTCTTCAGCCTAGAAAAGCACAGGCTCAGGAGTGATCTGGTAGCCACCTGTAAGTTTATCAGGGGTGCTCATCAGGATCTGGGGGAACATCTGTTCACCAGAGCACCCCAAGGGATGATGAGATCAAATGGTCACAAACTCTGCCGCGGCCGATTCAGGCTGGACATAAGGAAGAACTTCTTTACTGTCCGAGCCCCCAAGGTTTGGAATAGACTGCCACCGGAGGCTGTTCAAGCACCCACTTTGAATGCCTTCAAGACACATTTGGATGCTTATCTTGCTGGGATCCTATGATCCCTGCTGACGTCCTGTCCATGGGACAGGGGGCTGGACTTGATGATCCTCTGGGGTCCCTTCCAGCCCAAATGTCTATGAAATCTATGAAGTCTTAGGAATACTGTAAAAGAGATGCAACAGGCAGAGGACTGTTTATTTCCTACATATCTAACCTCAGAGTACTCATAAGAAAGTGACACCAAAGCTTCCTGAAGGACTAACACTAAAAGTCTAATCAATGCAGCAAACACATGGTTAATTCCAACTCCATCTCTTCAGAGGCCTACTTCCACAATATAATCAAGTGAAGAAATCAAATTACTAAAGTTAAGCCTCATAAAGATTAAACACAGTTAGATGAGAAAAAAAAAATGGCTAACTGTCTGTAAACCAGCCTAGTAAGCAACCCACATTCAATAAATGTCAGTTTACATGAAGTCATAGGCCAGGTGCAGACATTACACTTTTTCTGGTTTAGGTGGTCAGAAACCAGGCTAAACATGTAGCAGAACAGAAGTTCAGCACACGTAGACCAGTTTAAAAATGGCCAAACCCAGCCTAAGATAGACCTGGATGAATGTAACATCAAATGTAACTGGTTTAGACTGGTCTATTGAATTTCTGTCCCAGATCCCCTCCTGACTCAAGTTATAGCCTCCCCCCACCCCAGCATCCCAGCAGCCTTTGTGGCTTTCCTACTAACCCCCCACCACCCTTGCAGGGTGGGTGAGCTAGCCTTGGCCAGCCCTAATATACTCTAGCCGTCCCTGCGCTCAGCAACCGCAGGGGGTGAGGGGAAAGAGAGCTCCCACCAAGCAGGACTCCCCCTACCCCACAGCTTGCTGGCTCAGGTCTGGGGGGCCAAGCTGGGTCTGTGCAGTGGGCCTCAACTACCTCCTGCCCCCAGTTTCTGGCATGGCAGAGAGCTGCACAGCTCTGAGTTGTGGTTCCTGGCTGCATTTGTCAGCCGGGCCAGGAACCGGGGGTGGAGAAATGGAGCCACCCACCATGCAGCCCTGGTCCTGAGCCAGCACAGTGGCAGTGGGTCCCACACAGTGGGTGGCTCCATTCCCCCACCACCACTCCCCTCCTCCTGCCTGACAGCAGCATCCAGGAGCCATGGCTCAAAGCTGTGCAGCTCTCTGCTGCACCAGGAACCAGGGGCGGAGTGGGGGAGTAAAGCCCCTACCATGTGGACCCAATCCACCCCCCACAGATCCAAGCCAGCAAGCTTGTGGGGGTGGGGGAGGGCTTTGTTCTCCCAACTCCCACCCCTAGTTCCTGGTGTAGTGGACTATATAGCTCCAAACTACAGCTTCTCCCTGCAGCTATCAAGCCATCAAGTGGGGGGTTTGTGAGAAAGGAGCCCCCCACCACACACCTCCTCCAACTGTTCTGGCTAGGTCTGTGGGGGGTTGGTCCACAAACTCAGACCTCTGCTTTTCCCCTCTGCCCTCCCCCCTACCACCACTAACAGCCAACCACAGGTGGGCTATGGGGGAGCGGGGAGAGATTCTGTGCTGGCTCCCCTCTCCCCGCAGCTGACACCAGGGTGTTGGGGGCACGTGCTAGCAGCAACTCAAGAATGGCACCCACTTGGCTGTGGTCAGCTGCCCTCAGCCTTCACCACATTGCAAGGCACTCAGGAGCACCCTCCCACCCCCACCTCACCTTCTGTTCTCAGTCAGTGCAGATGTCTGCCACATCTTTTCCCTTTTCTCTTAATCCAAATTCTGCAGTTTAGAGAAACCCACAAAGACTGGATCAATTCTACCTCATGTTTTTTGAATGTCTATACTTAGCCATAGGGTTCACACCTAATCTGTGCCCATTCTTTTCTGCAGTTTCTTTAGATTGGCAGTATTAGCCATGTAATAACTCAGTCATCTGCTCTCAGCTCAAAGGAGAACTGTTGTCAGTTCACCCCCATATAGGCAGATGTATCAAAGTAGCTGAGAAAGAAAGATTCCCAAAGTATTAAATGCTTTGAAACTTTAATTTTTCAATTTAGAACTTCATATTTCGAACCTTTCAAATGTCCATGGAGTTCATTTTCCATTTTCTTCCTGGTAGATTAGGATTAGGGATTTTATCCTAAAAGCCATCAGTTTCTCAAGGAGATGATTGAAATTAGAAAGTGTATGAGCTAACCCTCAATCATTTACAGTAACAAAGTGATCCTGTGCAAAAGAGCAGATCACTATACATACAAGTGTCTGTCAGAGCCTCAGGACATGATATTATCTGTATCCAAAAATGATGGCCTATCCTAGTTGCCTAGAAAAACCAAAATGTTTATTGTAAGAGGAAACAGAAGAAATACAGGAAATGTGAGATTTAAAAAAAATTCTTCCATCCAAGTTCGGGCTAATCTTTTTAAATTAAAGTAGACAAGATTACTTTTTATAAGTTGCCAATTATTTACTCTTGTCCTTTATTTTTTCCTTGTAATTTTTGTAATTGATTTGATTCCTATTATGAGTATTTACTTTTGATATATATTTTAGAGGGAACATTAACGTTGGTCTTTAGAGTCACTGTATATTAACCCTTGTCATGTGTTCAGGAATACTCTTTTGCAACTCTGCCTTATATAATGTGATAAATTTAGCAATTAGTGGTACTGTGTGTTGCTCCTGTATTAACTTTCCACACCCTTAAAAAGTTAACTGATTAAAAATGCAATAGACCAGTGGATTAAGAACATGACTGGAAACCAGAAGCTCTAAAATTCAAAATAAGGTTCAGCCATTGGCTTGCCGCTTGCCCATGAGCAAAAATCAGTCAAGTCTAATTTCCAAAAGTGCTGAGCACCCAAACTCCCAAGTGAATTTTGTAGGAATGGAGTGCTGAGCAGCTCTGAAGCCAGCCCTTAGATTTATCTGCACTGCATTGTAAAAGTGTGTTACCGTTTTGTTTTAGGAGCATGATTAAATCGTTGCATGCATCAGTTGTAGCAGCTCAACACTGCTGATTGATTAATCCTCAAAACAGTTGAAAGTAGTCTTTCTAATGTTTACAGCTTCAACATGCTATATAAAGGGCTAAAGAATTTAACAGTATTATTAGAAGGTTCTCAGACTCAGCTCTCCCCTGCTCACTAAAGTACTGACAAAGCTTTCAACTATGGCTCATGGTATTAGCAGGGGGAAAAGCCAAGAGTTATAAAACTTTATAGCAATTGGATTTGGAATGATATATTAAAATAGGGGTAGCTTCAGTTTCACCCCAGATGACCACCCCAGCAATAATTTTAGAGACCAAATTTAATTAAGTGAATATATCAAACTATGGCGATACAAAAAACAAAACAAAAACAAAACAAAAATCAGAAAGTCTAACTTGGAGAGAACAAACTACTAAAGTATATATATGCTCCACTAAATTATTTGCATAACTAGTCTTGCACTGCTCAGCAGGGTACACACAAAGTAGTTTCTCCTTAGAGCTCCCAGGTTTTAGGTGCCAAGTACAAACATTTTTCTTAGAAACCTACTCTTGATCTTTTTGTGTTATTATTGGACTTCTTTTTCTTGGTTACATTGTTACTAAAATAAGTTGCTATTTTTTCCTACAAAATTTGCCAAACCCTCTGCTGGAATGCATTTCTATTATCCTGTTACTAACGGAGTTCCTCTAACATTCCCACTGACCTAATTGTGGGTTTTGGCCTGAAAAGATGACACGTTTATGTGAGTCTGGTAAAGATGTTTAGTCAGGGACACTTGAAATGAAGTATCATTCTGTCCTCTCTCATCAAGCCCCAGGCCACACTACCTAAGGAATGCAATAAGATGACATTTCTTCCCCATGTTCTTTTCTCCCATCTTGATCTCCAGTTTTAAAGAAAATCTTCAGAATCTGGTGGAAATAGATCAAAAACTTAAACAAAGACAGCTGGAAAACATGCAAAACTGGATAATGTTAGATGCAAAGCAATTTATGTATTTGTGTGGTCATTTGGCTAAATTCTACACAAGGAAAGGTACACATAGGCAACTTCCATTGAAGTCAATGAGATCAATGTTTATATACCTGAAAGTAGGTTTTGGCTATTTAGTCTTAGTCCATATTTGTAAAGTCATGTCTATATTTGGGGAACTATATCGATGTTAAATAATAAAATTATATACCTTTATTTTGTACCTGTCAATCTAATATCTTTTGACAGTACTACACAGTATATAGTCAGTAAAATGCCAAAAGTAAACAAAGTCTTAAAAATCACTGTGCCAAGCTCATTTACACTGTATGGAAAGATTGTTTCATGGATCAAATCATGCTGTTTGTACAAAGTAGTACTGATGCAGCAGCATCACGTGCTGAAACAGTTGCTGGTCACTTCTCTGACTCAAAGCAGAGTTTCCAAACCTAGTGCAACCTAGTCAGGAGACTCCATTACAACACTGCTTGATTATGTGGGAGAGAGAGAAACTTAAACTGTGTTCCCAAACCCTGCTGAAACCCTGGATGTGTCATCCACTTAACTAAAGCTATGGTTCATGAAGACATATACAATCCTGTCTATACTTTAAAATGGAACTGTACTATGCTTCTCAGCATAACTAATTATAATGTCCAGAATCCTCACATTGTTAGAGTTGCCACTAGTGTGAGAAGCCATCAACCTAGAAAGAAGAAAGTTAGTGACGGGGACGCCAGGCCTCTGCCAGTTTTAGAGTAGCAGACTCAGTGCACTGGAGAAGACCGCTTACCTGCACAAATCTTGCCATCATAAGTGTCACACACCCAGTCGTGGCACTCACACAGGGGTCCATAGTATTTGCCTGGCTCAGTCACTCGGCAGATGCAGACACCACAATTACACTGGCCTCTGCCATTGCATAGCTTCCCTCCTGATGTATGACACCTGAGCTCTGACTCAGCCTGAGAGAGTTGGCATGAGGAAGCACTGGTAGAGGCGCTCCTGTGGAAGGTGATAAAGAAAACCTGCTTCAATCAAAGTCAAAGTCAGATGCTGCAAGACATATACCTGTTACCTTAAAACTCTGCTTTATGTGTGGCTGTAAAACTGCACAGTAGCACATAAATCTGTGGCTGCATAGATGCTATTTAATTCAGAGCTTCAGCAGCTTTTTGACGTTTCACAGTGTACCTGGAATTTTGATCAAGCGTATCAACTGTGGGAATGAATACATTGCAATTTAATTATTTTGCAGGGTTTCAAACCCCTATCTTTAACATTTAATTAGGGTCATATTTATTCTCTTATGCATACATATAAAAAGCTGGATCACCATGATACATTTCAATCCAGGTTATTTTAATGGGCTTGGAAAAGTCCTATACATACAAACTTTACACAGTAAAACTTGAAGTTATTGAGGTTAAAAAAAAATTGGCATATGTATCCAAGTGGATTCAACTAAAGTTTTTTTCAGTTTTCTTGTGTCAGCCCACATTTGGTTCAGACCTTTTAGTAGAATAGCAGAAGCAAGAATTTTTCCCAGGTTTGTTGGTATAGTTTCTAGATTTATCACCATAATTTGGCAAAATCCAGGGGGATTTAGATGTCAGGTCTGGATTTTTGTAGCTCCATTTTGCTGAAGCACCTCAGAGTCCAGATTTCTAATGTGCATCAGGAACAAATAAGTGTTAACTCTTTAACTATTGGGATTTCAGGGGACTGGGATAAAAGACAGGCCAAATCCAGGTACCAGATCTAGACATTTGCAACACTGTTGTGCCAGGATGCACTGGCAATTTGAATTTTCTTGGGGGGCAATTGTAGCAACTACACTTGTTCTTAGAAATAAAAGTTACGTGGACTGGGTCTAAAAATTGGCCGGTCCCACTGCAACTAAGGACTGGATCTGGTGTATGCCTTCCTCAACCCCTCCTTTCTCTTTTACCCCTGCTGTGCTATGGCACCAGACCACATGGGGATAACAGGTTTTGGTAGACTAGCTGAAGTTGCACTTCTGGTCTATTTAGGCAGCAACATTTGGAGAGCCAATGTTGAATTAATCAAGATTCAGCAGTTATTTTTGCCTGTAGATACCTGCATATCAAAGACTTCCCTGTGTAATATACAGTACATAAACTTTATGATCTCATATTTTATGCACAAGTGCCACTCTACCCACAACAGAATGCACACTTAAGCTTGTCATACATGTGTTGCATATTTCTTCTTTTAAATAGGAACAGACTCCATCCACCAACTATATACTCGTGGCAACTTGTTCCCAGTTAAAGTACAGATCTTGAGATGACAGCTAAGTAACTTAGTTAATTTAAAAACACAAACTTACCGCAGGGACAGGGAGAAAGTAGGTGGAAGCGCTGGCAGCAGACTCAGAAGCGAAGCAGCCAGCAGCAGCACCAGTTTGAGGATCCCTTGAGCATACATGTTCAGATCCCAGGCAGTTTGCAGCACTCTAGTAGAGTCCCACAGCCAGACAGACCCTCTCTAGGTCTGCAAAGCTCTGAGCTGGCCAAAACCGGCTCCAAAGCTGCTTCCCCCGGTGCTGCGAGTGCCTTTGATTAGCTGCCTGGAAGCTGGATTTGGGCAGCACTCTGGGAGAGAGGCTAGTGCCAAACCCCAAAGTTTAAAGTCTAGGCTGGGAAGTAATTAGAAACACTTGCAGGGCCAGATGGTTTATTTTGACATTAAAAGTGTCCTATTCACAGATTTAAGCCAACTGTCTCATTCCCCAAGTACAGGCACCATAAACATTTGAAGAATGTCTATGCGAATTAAGTATGATTAATGGGTGTTTAAGGTGATCTGAGTGAGTGAGTGAGTGGGGAAATGTGTTTTGGGCAGAAGACCTTAACACCACTTAATACTTACATTAGATAGTGGCAGCATTTAGGCAAGTGCTTTCCTTTTTTCAGTGAGAAGTAACATTATGTGGATCCAGGTTGCCCTCCTCCTCCACCATTCTGTGTTTGAATTCTCACAGGGGTGACACTCAGCTCTGACAGCCAGAGTGACTGCCACTTGAAAATGATCAGGAGTGAACTTTAAATGCCCCATTAAAACACACAGCCTTCAAATGAACTAAGCTGAGGGAGTCTCCCTCCAAATGAGGGAAATTTGGCAGAGCTGCCTGTGGCATTTCTTTAGGCTACTCAGTGTTTAACACTTGTTGATTCCTTTGTCCTGGAGAGTCACTAATTGTCCCAGCAGTTCTGGAGTTGGAAAGCTGTTAGGGAAAACCTAATCCCGACTTCCACAGAAGAAAAATCATTAGAAGGATATGGGTATTGTGGTGGATATACAGTATTTTTCATAATGCAGATCATACTGTTTAAGACACGAAGTCATGCTGCTGAATTGGAGATTCTTAGTGGCTCACCAAAGGTTTTTTAACATCTCTTTCAAAAGTGGAGATTCCCTGGTTTGTTCCTTTAAAAAACTGCAGCTTTATAGCCCTCAGAATATAGTGTGCTACAAGACAGTCACAATTTTTGTTAAATCAGTTTTGCTTTACAATTCAGATGTACCATTTCCAGAAAGCCCCAAAAGTTGCATTCGAGTTAACATAGTGAACTCAGTGGAATGTCCTCTATTTCCAGGACCCCACTGAAGGCAGTAGCGCCTGCCAATGATCTGCTTGGAACATTCTGTTAATGTTAAATAGAAAATCTTGACTTTTAGATCAGTTAGTCCCTTAAGTGGCAAAAGTGCTGTGAATTCCAATTTTGATAGGAGACACTGTTTCTATTAAAATAAATTAAAATCAACTAAAGCTTCCTGAGAGGTGCAAAAGCATACGTTGTTAGAAGTTGCCCAGGCATACAGTCTCTTAATCTTTTAAGGTATTAGAATTCAGCAATTCACTCCTACTAGCAAAATGCAATTCATCACATTGGTTACAAAGACAAAACTTTACAGAGCCTTATAATAAAGGCTATTGGCTGTTCATGTGCAAAGTGCAGCTCTCTGTTATTTTCTGTTTCTGGAATATATAACCTACTGCATAATGTCTCCTTTTATATGGCTTTCCTAATCCATGAACAAGGGAGATGGAAAACAGAATCTTTCATTTTACAACTTTGCACCAGCCTTACTGCCTTAATTAACTCCAGGTGTGTCTTTAACCCAAGGTGACAGCTCACCTGAGCTCAATCTGCAGAAGCTGCTTGACATAACTGGAAAGAAAACAGCAGCTATTCTCAAAAAGACTGAAAAGAGAACAATGCAGCATTTTTGCAATCATAGTATGAATACTGTGACCAGTCTAAGCACTCTCCCTCACAGTAAACAACAATCACCCCTGGATCGATCCACAAAAACTACCTAAAATTAGTTCTTTTGGACTTAAAACTTGCTTCCACTAGTCCCTAAACATATTTTTTCCAGGAAACCCCAAACAGTGAACAGTCTTTAACTAACTGCCCAAACATATTCTGTGTGTGTGTGTGTGTGTGTGTGTGTAATTGTTTTAATTAGAACATGGATCCAAGAATCAATGATCTAGATGAAATGCTATATGCGACTCTCATTTGTGAAAAAGTAGTTCATTGATGTACATCTTTAGTTTATTAGAAGGAAACAATATTAAAACACTGTTGCTACATTTTATAGCATTATACATCAACATTGAAAATGTAATATAGACTCGTATCTTGAACTGAGAGTAATACAGCTGATTCTGTGCCTCTGCAGATCTCACTGAAGACTGAGGTTGGCATCTGTTCAAACCCAATCCTACAAACAGCTATGTTCATGTTAACTTTACCAGAATCATCCCTTGACTTCAATGGCTCAATTCAAAGAAGGTAAGGTAGATTTATACCTTATAGACTTACTAAATCAGAGATCTACCATATTTACCCAAATCCAAGATGACATTCAATTTAAGCTGACCACCTCCCAATAATTAGATTCTATATATGGGAAGTGATACATTTGTTATAATTTTCCATATATAGAATCTAATTATTGGAAGGTCATCTTAAGTCTCCCCTCCTAACACTATGGTAGGGAAAGCAATGGCCAGAGGAGAAGGGCCAAACCCCCACCTCTGCCACCTATCCCCCCTGTCACATTCCCCCCAACTCCTTGCCCCTCCCCATGTCTATGCCAGATCCTTCTGCCTGCTCCCCAGCCACTTCTACCTTTTGCCCCTCCCATGTCTGTGCCTGTGCCTGCCCCCCTGCCACCTGTCTCTCTTCTGGTACCTGCTCCCTGTCATCTGCCCCCTACCACCTGATCCTTCCCTGTGTTCCCACTTTTGCACTTATCTTCTGCAGTGGCTCCAGCTCCAGTTCCAGGGCAGTCAGTGGTAACCTCAACCTAGCTTGGTCAGGCAGAAGCAGTGGCAATAGCTCCAGGCCTTGACTGGTGCCAGAGTGAAAGGTAAGAGGTGGTAGCAGGCAAGTGGCCAGGGTGGCAGGTGGCAGAGGGGGAGGCTTCTCCCCAAGCCGTACACTGCAGCTGTCCCCTGAATCCTCTCCCAGTTCATGGTTTCCTCCGTGCGCTATCTTGCATGACCCCCTCTTCTGCTATATGAGCCATCGTAGCCTGGGGCAGGCAGCAGCTCAGCTCTGGCTTTGGCCAGATTCTCCTCTATACTGCACTGCAGTACACATCCGGAGTACTGTGTCAAGTTTTGGGCCCCCCACTCCAGAAAGGATGTGGACAAATTGGAGAGAGTCTAGCAGAGGGTTAAGAAAATGGTTAGAGAGCTGGGGAATATGAGAAGAGACTGTGGGAACTGGGTTTATTTAGTCTGAAGAAGAGAAGACTGAGGGGAGATTTAATAACAGCCTTCAGCTACCTGAAGGGTAGTTATAAAAATGATGGAGCTGCTACACTGTTCTCACTGATGGCAGATGACAGAACAATGAGCAATGGTCTCAAGTTATAGCGAGGGAAGTTGCAGTTAGATATTAGGAAAAACTCACTTATTAGAAGGGTAGTAAAGCACTTGAACAGGCTACCCAGAGAGGTTGTAGAATCTCCATCCTTAGAGGCTTTTAAGAACTGGGTTAGACAAAACCTTGACTGGGATAATCTAGTTGGGGATGGTCCTGCTTTGAGCAGGGGATTGGACTAGATGACCTTCTAAGGTCCCTTCCAACCTAACTTTCTGTGATTCTATGATTGGGGAAAAAGATAAAAATACAGCATATAGCATAAGCTGGACTTGATAACATAGAATATAACATCCAAGATTCATTCACCTGGAACCCTACCAACATTATATATGCCATCACAGGCTTACAATGCTCCTCTGCCATCTACAGTAGCCAGATGGGGTGATCCTTGCATATAAGAATGAAAGAATGCCAATCTGACATCATCTCCAGAAAGACACAAAAGCCCATGCAGAGCACTTTAATCTCCTTGGACACTCCATCAGTGACTTCCAAATAGCTGTTCTTAGGTAGTAGGGAAGCAGACAGAAGCGCACCTCCCAGCTGTAACTCAGAACAAATTTTGCAAAGTGTTCTGAGTTACATTACGCCAGACCAAACAGAAGTTCACTGTTGGTTCCATTGGGGAGGGGAATCTAGCTGTGGCTGTGAGTCTGCAGCTGGGTTCCCATACCAATGGGCAGGCTCTCTACCAGTGCTCCCTGCTTTCATAATGGGAGGGGAGAACAGCAAAAGAGGGAACTCATTCTTGAGGCTGCCTAGCTGGTGGTAAAGGGTGGGGTGGGTGCATTGGAAACCTCCCCCCGTACCTTGGGGGCTGAGGCTGCAATACACCCACCCAACCCTATGGTGGGGCAGGGACTGAAAATACTCCAGGCTGAACTCCCTCCGCTCCCTTTCCCCCTTCCCATTCTAAAAACAGAGACAGGCTGGGAGCTCTGCAGACACAAGTTACAAAAGAGGTTACATTTTGTAACTTATTTTTCTGATACTTTAAGCAATAAAGGGTCAGATTTTCATCCAATTGGCCATTTTTTAAGTTGCTTGCTGCCATGCACTTGTGTTTGGTCACAGCTATAAACTACTTCTTGTGGCCAGATCAGGTGAAAATTGTCAGTTCTGTCGGCCCCCAGAACTTTAAAAAACAACTTGAATGGGAAATTGCAGAACAAGAAACCACCCATAGACTGGATTGTGTTAAGTATGGTTTAAACAGGGACTACAGATTTTTATCCCTTTGTTCCTATAGGTTTGTTGCTTGCTCATTTGCCTCCTCCAGCACTACCACCTCTCCCCACTCTTCCCTCCCTTCCTGCCTTGTCTTTATTTGCAAGCTTTGGGGCACACACCTCCCACACCTGCTTTAGTTAATCTGTAAGGTACAAATCTACCTTGCCTTCTACCTGTTGCTATCTATTCACAGAGGGAAAGTTAAGTGCTATATTTTGAAGTGCATATTTTATGCATCAGTCAGTTTTATATCACTTCAGTACTTTTAAGTGATTGTCCCAGGGATGCTGGGGTTAGAAGGGTACCCCGGGGCCGGACCAGGGGG